TAGACACAATTCCTCGACAGAATTTCTAAATTATAGACGAGTCCTTTATGTCCCTTTGCATGGCTACAGGATGTTTAAAAAAAAAAAAAAAAAAAAAGAACTCTTTTGATCTTCCCCTTTGTGATTTCCTCTACACGGGAGGTTTGAAGATGTGATTGATGGCAAGTCTGCTACTGAGCCACAAAACATTCTCATGTCATTATTTTTTTTGGATTAAAGTATTAGGGGAACCCCAATGTCAAGATCTAAGTTTCAGTGTCCCAACAATGAGTGCATTGCAAATTTTCGGTCTATAATCTCGCCTTTGATTTTAAAGTTAAAAAAAAAAAAACAACTTATGTTAATACTTTCAACTGTAAATATACCACAAACTATGTTTATGTGCCTGATTTTTCGAGGCACAACTTTCCACAAAATGTTGACTTCACACTCCAAATTGTTTCACTTTTAGTGTGCTCCACTTCTGAGTTTCAACACTACAAAAAAAAATTTTTTTTTAATCATCGTGGCATCAGTCTTAGATAACACATTCATGTTGAATTGTCACATCACGACAGCTCATTCACAGGCTTGACAAGTTTCACGCCGACCGCACTTCCACTAAATATGAAAACAAAGCAGATGTGTGTGTGATCGTGACGTGAGACGGTCAATCTGCTTATTCTCTCATGCGGTGCAGCACCTCCCTCCCGCTCTGGAACGGAGGATAAAATTTGATGGGCAGCAGTGAAAATAATTGGCTCTGTGTATTCCAGTTTTCTCGCTGCATCTGAATCCGCGTCGATCTTTCCTGACAGCATGTGATAATATTGCCACATGGGAAGCAAAGTGAACACCAGCGGGTTACAAAGCCTTCTAAAAGTGTCTTCGCGGAGCTGTGATTTATCTCCTCTGCTACCTTTCTTGAAACCAAATACTTACACAGTGGATTCTTCCTGGTGTCGAAACCACTAAAATGATCATCGGCCTTGATTACAAACGACTATTTCAAAGAAGAATCTAACAAGCCCCTTTTCAAACTGTACTTTCCTCCCTCTGTCTCGCAGAAACTCAAAGATTTGTGTGTTTTGAGTTTGAAGTCATGGGTGTGAGCCAATGTATATACATTGAGTAGATACACAGGGACATTTAAAGCTAGAGTGTGTACTCCCTGCCCATAAAGTCACGCTCAAGCCTTATTTTTTTATATTTTTTTTTATATTATTGTTGGAGAAGTGAGCACAGTCATTTTCATGTATTCGAATGGAACCCATCATTAGGTAACGTTGGTGGGAGGGAGGGGTAGCAGATGGCATAAATCAAGACCAACCTTATATAAAGCTGAAGTGAGATTCATGTTTGAGTCTTTTTTTTTTAACATGAAAAACCTCACATGTTTGTGATATGTTCCTTTTCCATTGCTTCCATTCTCCAACAAATTCTGGTCACTGAAGTCAAACGGAGCAGAAACATTCAACTCAAAGGCGCAAAGCTGCAAATGTCCTTCCAATCGGTCAGACCAAATTCCAACAATGTCCTGGCGAGTTATGTCCCAAACATATCATCATACACGATGGAGCGTGAAGTTATGTTCATGCTTATTTTGGTTATGACCTGGAGAGAATATTAGCTGACCAGAGAGAATCATGCTGCAGGAACAAAATCATTCACTATACAGTGTGTGTGTGTGTGTGTGTGTGTGCACACACACACACACTATATATATATATATTTTTTTTTTTTTTTTCTCACATGCGTTTTGCAAACATTGGAACCTCAAAGTCAACACGCCTAAGGTTGAACAAAAACCAAAACCGAAAAAAAATTGCTGTTAAATGCAACGTCCAGTTGAAGTTGACGGTCAAACTAAACATCAAACTAAGAGAATTCCAACTCATGTATTTAAAACACCCTCATAGTGTTGCCTCTATGTCCGATAGCTTAATGCTAATGCTGAATAGCATTGATGTTGCGGTGCAATAACCCCTTAGAAAATGGACAGAATACAAACTGTGCAGCAACAGATGCAGCCATTCAATTGAAGCAGTGTGGCAAAATCTGTCATGACTGTATGTTCCTATAAAGTACTACATTATAAAGTGATCATTTTCTTCATTAAAATACAATTTTTTTGGGTGTTTTGGGGGCGGAAGGCTGCAACGTATAATAGGGAACTCCATTTATTTCAGAAGGAAACGATTTTATTCTATTCTTCAAGGACATTTTTAATAAGCCCTATTTTATGTATTTGTGTTGTAACATTTTTATGAATTCATCAGTACTAGAGTGCCATTCCCTCATAATAAGCCACAACTGAAATGCATTCTTTTCATATATAAATGATTCTGCTGTCATTATGTCAATAAATAAGTAGACTCTCTCTCTCTCTCTCTCTCTCTCTCTCTCTCTCTCTCTCTCTCTCTCTCTCTCTCTCTCTCTCTCTCTCTCTCTCTCTCTCTACCTCCCCCCCATCTCCCCTGCCTCACACACATGCACACAAACACCTCAACCTCAAGCCTCACACTAAGTGCAGACAGGACCACACATGAGTCACCTCACACACACGAAATGTTTTGCAACGCTCCAAACATTTATTTAAACATTGAAAGGAAGAGCTTTGTGTGTGTGGTGTGCACACATAGATGTGTACAGTTAGACTGTAGATGCGAATAACACGTCTTTGCAGAAATGGCCAGAAAGTTACACCCCACGTGTCATCAACGAGAAGCTCGAGAGCATGTGTCCACAAAACTTAAACCACATGACATAAGAACAGTTCAACAAATTGCTGAGTAGAGTGATACTTTGACTTAGGAGTTTAATTTGTTCCTTGACAAAGATCGTAATTCAGTTTACACACACACACACACACACACACACACACACACACACACACACACACACACACACATTCTATAGCACATGTTAATAATTGTGTACAATTTAAGAGTACTAATGTATGACGTCTTAGTAGTAAGTGTTGCTTAAGAGCTTCAATTCAATTCCTTCAACGCACTCTTTTTCAAATACATAAATAAAAGTACTCACCGTTTGATTGTGCCAGGGCAGCTGCCCAAATGTTCCTTAAAAACGCATCCATGATACTTCCAGGTTCTGACACAGGCCTGGCTCCCAGGTCTTTCTTGCGGGTAGAGAGAAAGAACCAATTAACAAGGGAAAAAAAAAAAAGACAATTTCAAGGTCTGGTCATGACGACTGTGTAGTCAGTCACGGCATCATATTGCACTTGTTTGTGTCAGTGACGTGAGACATTTTGCAGCTGTTTTTCTAGTGCTGTTGATCAAATCGGCTTTCCCCTTCTGCAACAAAATGACTGTTATTGTAGGGAAAAAAAACAACAAATGGACGCTTGTGCAATACTTCAACTTGTTAATCAAGTGAGGATAAGGCGTTCAAAGTCATTAAAGACACGTCATTTCAAATCAACAGACCACTAAAAAGGAATGTCGTTCTACACATAGTAAATGTGTCTTAGTGCTTTTGGCTGAGAGCGCGGTGAGACATCTTTATCTTTGGATTTTATGTGTGTGTGTTAATCTCTGACATTGGATTTGAAACCGGCTTTTTTTTGGTTTCCGCAGCAGCGGCGTGGAGCCACATTACAAACGCAGACCGCAAAATGCTCTACATATATACAACGCATACATGCAAATGTTTGAGACCACATTTGGATGTGTTGGTAAAGTCGAGCCTCACACACACACACACACACACACACACACACACACACACACACACACTAGTCACACTGTTGCCTCAGCTCTGCACTCTGTCTGGGTGGTCTGCACTGAAAATGTTTATGATCTAAAGTGAGCTAATCCAACTGGCTTGTTTCGCTGAATTGAGAATGATTTACAGGACGCTGCAGTAGAGAAGCAGCCCCGAGGAAATCTTTAGGCTCCATTTCAAGTCATTCTGGGTCCAGACATGCACACTTGTCTCCCCCCCGCCCCGGTTCTCACTGCAATGTGTTTTTGTATTTCTGTCTGGTCCTTGGATAGCCGTCTTCAACTGACAAATTAGCTGCACTTTGACAGCAGGCACACAGCTATTTCCCCCCCACCCCCTCCCCTTTGTGGAAAAGGCAAATCTTCATCATGATATCAATCATGTCTTTCAGGCACTTTGCACTTCAAATAGCATTGACTGTTGACAGCAGGCTTTTCCAAATGCAGTACTTGAAGCCCAAAGTCCAACGTTCCATCTCACAATTTTCTATATCGCTTATTCTATTGAAGATCACAGGGAGTTGGAGCCTGTCCCAATTGACTAGTGGAGGAAGGCCACTACATTTTTTGACAATAGTGGATCGCGCAGGTCCGTTTGTCAGAGTTAGAAGACAAAGACATAACTGTTCTATATAAATTGCATATGACTTTATTGTAGTCCCCCTCTAATTTAATTTATGTATTCTGGCATTGGTGGAGTCGAGAGTAATGTGTATCTCAATTCTCCTCCCTTTCGTTCTCTCAGTCTTCTTTCGAGCAAGTAGCGACGGGCAGTCAAGCTCATCTCCTGGCCAGAGCAAACACAAACCAAAAGCCACATTCCCCGAGCTCAATTTGCTGTTACGTCTCTCTCAGCTCTGTGAAATGGGAGTTATCAAGTTTGAAGTCAGGGAGGACTTGTTGGGTGGTTTGTGCCTGCTAATCCACTTTCTATTACTGTGAATGAAATAGGGAGGAATAAACTAAAAGCTAAAAAAAAAAGGGGGGCGGGGGGCATTCCTTAACGGTGAAGTAACAAGTTAATCAGAAAAACATGTATACTTGTCATTTAAATACCGGTAATAATACTAATAAAAGGATGATCGTATTTGACATCAAGGTTTAATTATGGAATGTTATTAATGAATTACACAAAATTACTGGCATTTATGCAGTTTAAAATAAACAAAATACTGTCTTAAATCACTCTGCAATAAAGTACCGGACAAAACATTGATTATTCTGTAGTGTTTTTTTTTTTTCTTTGGGGAACTTTTCTGTCCCCGGAATTGTTTCCAAGTCGGACATGTTACGGTGGAACTACTGTGATTGCCGGATACAGCAGAAGTTGTTCATTGGGCTTATTTGCGATCTCAAAGCGGCAAGTTGAACTCTCACCGTGGGGGGTTTATTTTAGACACTTTACGGTCGTTCGCTGTCGAATCCCAACTCTTCGTGACCCGTCGGCGAAACATGAGTCTTGTGGATTATGCTACTTGCTAACTGTTAGCTGAGCCGCTAACAACTCTTGACAGCAGTCCCATTCAATGTACATGTGTCGACCAACAAACGCTCACCCGGGATTCAGGAGTCACTGAGAGGTAAACTTTCACAAACATTTCGTGTCCTTCATTTGCTTTGTCTTGTTGACGCATTCATGTGCGAAGCATTCTGTCAGGATTTTGATTAACTCCCGTTTCAACCGAGCTAGATTAGCATGATCCCCACGTTTACTGTCAAGGTTTCTCCGCCCTTTCACACATTTCATCATTCACCTGACACTTTATTTGCATCTTTTGTGTGATATTCGTCTCTCCTTATGATGGCGTTATGTACACATATCTATTTGAAACACGGGATTGTTACTGTTGTGCTGACAATCCTCCGTATGGCTTTAAAGGCTCTCAAAAGGCTTTTTTTTTCATAGTTATCTGAGAATTTCTTTATATTATTCTAGAGGGCTGTACAGAGCAGTATGTAGTTAACACGTCTGTCTCACAGTCTATGTCCTGGATGATTGTTGTGCTATTTTGCTGTCATAGTGGTAGCAGAAATGTATTTGTTTTCTTTCTCGCACAGGTGATTGAAATAAATTGGTGTCTCTTTCAGTCATCCCTAGCATACAGCATGGAGCTGCAGGCGGTGATGATGGCGGCCGGCGGGGGCTCACGGATGACGGACCTGACGTACAACACCCCCAAAGCGATGCTTCCCGTTGGCAACAGGCCTCTGATATGGTACCCTCTAAACCTGCTGGAGAGGGTCGGCTTTGAAGGTGAGAAGCAGGCCTTTACATTGTACGCCGTGTCTGTGTTGCTATTATTTATCTGTATTTCTGAGCATGTTTTTAAAAAAAGGCTCACATTACATATACTATATCAATAGAATAGTTCATACTACCCACATATGTATGTTTGTTTTATTAGGGAGGTTTTGATACTACTTTTTTTTCCAGACCAATACCAGTATGAATAATCAAACTTAAAACGTATACGTTTTAGTAACACCACTCTTGTGCTGTGACGTGCGGTTGGTCCAGAAACACTTGGCTTATAAAGGGATTTGTTGCAATGTGCTGTTCTTGCCAGTAAACAGAGCCGCTCATTGTAAAAAAAAAAAAAAAGCCTGTTGCTTCTCACGGCCCTTAATAAAACTACATTTCAAATATAATCACCATGTGTGGCCGGTACTTCTTTTTACTGTGTGCAGCCAGCTAGCCAAAGGCCTGCAATTTAATTTTACTAGGCTGACACAGCAAGTGAGCAAATGCATTACACAAACCATTTTATACAGATAAGGCTGCAATTCTTAGATGCATTAAAGAGGTCTGCCTCTGTTATTATCCACTTAAAGTGAAGCTTAATTTTGGTGGATGAAATGTGCCGTGATCTATTGGACCACATATGTGCCATTACGAATCATTATAGTCATGAAACTGCAACCCGCTGCACCCAATTGGTGCACTCTCTTCGCCTCAAATTGCTCTGAGGCACAATTAATCAAAAATCAATTCCACACAATCGACACACTTGTTAATCCAGTGATTCCCAACCAGGGTACCGTGAGAGCAAATTATCAAATTTCACCTAATTGGCGAGAAAGTTGTTTATGAATGACAAATAATGTATCTTTGTCCATGTATCTGTTCCACAAACTTATACTGACAAAAGGAACAAATAAATGATCTTCTATTAGATGGCAAAAAGTATGAAATTGAGATGTGTGTCCTCTTTTTGTGACAATATTGTTTGGCGGTGTGCTGTGAGATATTTCGAACTTAAGATATGTGCCTTGGTTCAATAAAAGTTGAGGATCACCATGTTAATCGAAAATAAATCGAAAAACCATGCGATCTGGGGTAAAAGTTTTAATACACAACACAAATGAGACTCGGGCAAAGTTTGATTGTATATGTGACGTATTTCTTAGCCGTACAGTGGGAGGCCTGACGTACATATAAGCAGCAGGATGTACAATCTTACTGGCTTAAGCATATCACATGACTATATAGGTCAAGATAACATGTTTTCCTTCCTTAATGGTCATTACGCAGTTCTTCATTGTCGTTTGTTCTTTGCTTTGTCTTCAGAGGTGATCGTGATTACCACCAAGGAGGTCCAGAAGATGATGAGCACCGACCTCAAACTGAAGATGGACGTGAAGATGAAACTGGACTTCGTTTGCATCCCGGAAGATGAAGACATGGGCACGGCCGACGCACTCCGACACATCCAGCCGAAGATCAAGGTGTCACGCATGCAAACATTGAAACAATTATTCTCATACGTGTGTTACAATGACTTACGCTACGTTTGGTATTATACCTTATAGTATAAGGTATAATTCCGGACTATCAGCCGCAATTTTCTCAACTTTCAATGATGTCATAAATATGGACAAAGTACCTTTGACATTTGACCGACCTCTCACCCGAATGGTGACTAAGAAAGGGGAATCCCAGCATCAGGGTGAAAACAACTGGCCACGACAGAACGTATTTCACTTGTGTGTTGAGCTGCACAGCCTCCGGATGAAGGCTTCCACCCATGGTGATTTTTTAAATGGATAACCTTGCCAAAAGAAACACTACCGAAAGGAATCTCTGTGAAAGTCAACAAAAAAAGGTGGATGATAGAAAGCCTAATGAAGGATTGGCTGACACTCGTGCTACGGCGAGTGAGCGGGGGGGGGATTTTTATTCTTTCCACACACACATACACACACACACACACACAAAAATGCTTGTTTTGGCTTGCATGAGAGCCTATTTAATCGTATCTTTGAAAGAAGCCACAAAGAGAACAAACTCCATTCTTGGGGGCACAACGAACCGTTTTCAGTCACTCGACATCAGTGCGAATCATATATGGTACATGCTAACAATACGGTATAAATATACGGCTTAAATGGTGTATCTGTCACAGACCATTGCACACTCACCTCAGCACCTCAAATTATGTTCAATTGCTAGCTTAATATGCTAAAACGACTCTAATATATTACATTGTCATCATTTAAAATACCTTAGTAGAATACGGCACTGCCTCGTAACCTCACAATTTTCACGATTCGTCTTCAAAAATAAAAAACATCCAGATAGGCTTTAATGACGCCATATGGCTTGCTTTCGCAAAAACGAGGAAATAGGCGGCGTTTCTTACTTCTCAGACACTTTGAGTGTGGCAGGGTGAAATCTGTCTACCATCAAAAATAATTAATGAATATGATAATCGATTAGTTGCCGATTAGTCGATGAATCGTTGCACCTCTACTCTGATGTACAGTAAACAGAGGACACCCAGGTGACACAAACGGTAGCTGAGGTTTTCGTTGTATCCCTGACTCCCAGTCTCAGTTCCCACCACCCACCTCCTCTCCATCCTGCCTGCTGATGCGGATCCTGCTACCCATCCCTTCATCAAATTCTTTCCAAGCAGATGAGGTCACAGTTTAGATGGCTGATCTGCCAGCGCATTCATTTATTCTCATCCTGTCCTCGAGCACATCTGCGCACCACTTGTGTATGGCTACTTGGACTCCTCTAGCCTAGCGTAGCTCCCGTGGCAATACTGATGTGATTGCATGAGCAAGTAGTCCCTTTGTTTGAGCAGATTTCATTGATCATTAGAAAAAAAAAGAATTATCAATGAATTGCTGCACGAGGCGTACGATTGTGATGAGTATTTTTTTTTTTTTTTTTGAGATCCACAATAATGGAGTCACATCCTGTCCCAAATTAGTGAGCGCAGATTGCATAAAAGGGATGACTCCATAGTCTTTAAAAGCATTTTTAAGCTGGAGAAGCAGCAAGCTGTTCATTTGCTTCGGGTGCATGTCGCGTATGGACACATCCCCAAACACAAAAACTTCACCGAGTAGTCAAATAAGCACCGCTGATCAGAAACTCGCTAATCTGTGTCGCCAACCAAGGCCACTGCATCTGCGGCTTTTCCGCAAAGCAACCGCTGGCTAAATTAGGTAACAAATGTATTGGGCATGAAGGAATTGCGCCCTCTGCTGGTTGCTTCCAAGCGGTGACAGCCACACATTTCGTTTTGCAAGACTTTGCCTCGATCAGTAACTGTCACACAGCCGTCTTAATTATGCTCCCTGCATAAAGATGCGTTTTGACAGGTTGTCTGTCCCCCTCCACACTCTTCGGCATTTGTAATCATAGAGAATCTTATTATCCCCCCACCGCCCTCCACCTTCACCCAAGAGTTCTTTATTTAACCCCTAGTGTAACCGCACGCAAGCACACTCCAATCGGACAAGTTCCCTCACGCTCCCGTTGAGGATATTGGAGTCCGTAATCCTTTGAGCAGCCAGATAGATTAGAGGCATTGAGTTACACACACTCTCACACTGGAGGCTGATGAGTGAGGGACCATAACCATGGCCTGCCAAATCCCAGCAGTGGAATCAATCAAACTGTCAGTCTGGCGCATGAATACAGAATAGACACACACATGCACACACACACACAAGCCCATCTCTTTATACTAACAACCTTCCATGAGGGGATTTTGTGTTACCGATCAAACAAAATACTTAGAATAATCCATCCGCGCTCTCGGGGAGCAGGGAAGTTCTGTTCCCTGAAAAGAGAGATTACAAGCAGCATATTTTAGTTTGTCTAGTGAAGCCTATGCCTGATTGTCGCCAAGGTCTTTCACGTTAAGCACAATGAGTGAAATGTGTACTTAATGTGCACTTTATTTTATTTTTGTATGGTTAAAGCCTCTTGGACATTTTTATCACCACCATTTTTATCACCACTCACTTTTAATCACCTGGAGTGAGTATCCAGGCTGACTCAGGTTCTGTTCTTTGTCAACATTCAAGCTGCATGACAAAAGGTGAAAGAGAGAGACATTGGGATGAGATGGCGAATGGTGCTTGAATGTCTTATTGATCAACATGTCACATACGAAACCTCAAGTGATGTTGAGAATAAACAGAACAGAATTGGGTCATTGGGTGTTGGTGGGTTGACAGGTTGGGTCATCCCTTCCATGGACACCTGTAGTGGAATGGGAAGAACACAAAGCGTGCCGTAACTCAAACGAGAACACACAAGTCTCGTTGTCCTCCGGTGTTATCACACACAGTTCAATGCAAACGGTGGCTTCGCCAGTGAGAATACCAGCATTAAAATCCAGGGACCACAGCGTGCAATTTATGTCCTGTTAGAAAGGCTTTCAGAGAGGAAGCTTAAAAAATAAATAAAAGACAGCGTGTGTGGCAACGTGTGTGTGGTCCTGACCTGTCCAGAGATCCTGGCTGTTGAAAGGCCAGAGTGTCTCTGTCTCTACAGCTGACTCCACTCCGCCGTCGCCTGTGAGTGTCCATGTGTGTGTTCTGTCTCGGAGCATGTGTACCAACCTTCCTGTGTGTGTGTGTGTGTGCGTGCGTGCGTGTTAAGACTGAGTGGAGAGTTGAAAGGTCTCTGGGGTCGCCGCGCCGCTAGATCTTCTGCAGACGACCGCAGCCTTGCAGTGGCAGCTTCCTGTTGCCAAGTCCAGACCAGGCTATGCTAAAATTTGCCACCGGGTCACGTACATGATCCTTGAAACTCTTTCGTACGCTCCCCTCACGAACATACCGCTGCACCGCGCTTGCTGCAATGCACATTATATCCAAATTCATCTGTGTCTTTTATACACCAATTCGTTGTAATGACTTCTGGTTACTTGATGGAATAATGCCCATTATTGTCTTAAGATACACTGATTCTTGTGTCAAGGGGTGAAAAAGAAATAAATGGCATAATCTGTAAGCGACAGCTATTTGGAGACCGCTTCAAGGTGTGCTTTAGACTTCAAGTTTCTCCGGCCTACAACACCACCAAAATTGCTTGCTCATGTCACTATGAAATCGCCATCAACGCCGTTTGACGTCATGGGGTCACTGCCCACGGCGTTCTGTCGGCACGGCATGGCAGCACGTGATTGTGTTTGTCGACGATGCCCTTGCTCTTTATGGTGCAATATGAAAGGCCTTAACTGGCCAAATACCTTAAGACAATCATTAGGGCACGCCCTTTAAAGATATACAACACATACAATGCTTGAGTTGTGATTTTATGGAAACAGTTTATTTCTTTACATTTCTCTTTTCTGAGTGGAGTTCGGTTTTTCTGTATTAAAAAGACTACAAAAATGGTGCCGTTTGTTTGGCGGCTGGAACGGATTAATGACACTTCAGTCTATTTTCATAGAGAATGTTGATTTGACACACAACTCAATTCAGTTACAAGCTTGTGAAAGTCCAGGTTCCACTGTACTTACAACATATTCGTCCCCATTCCTCCTCCATTGTAGGCCCGAGCGGAGGTGTCTCTGCCAATAAGAAGGCGGTGGGTACTAATGGTAGGATTAGTCCTCACGCTGACAGCCCTGCATCACTGAGCAGACAAATGGCTACTGGGAATGGAGGCGCAAGTTAAAACGCGTACACACATACTCCTGCTCACACACACGCGATGTAAGTGGAGGTCTGTTAAAATGACTGATGCTGCTTGCACGCCGATACTGTGTAAGTGATACCTTAATGGACTTCTCAAGCTGAGTATGGATGTTACGAAGTATTTAGTTTTCCTGTATTACACAGGACCTGAGATGCAATCGTGGCTAGCTGGGTATAGGTCAAATAGGTAGGATGGGCAGAAAAAAACCCATGTACCGGTAAATACGTGAACAGTGAACTGCAAATATCCCGGGACTGGCGTCTCTTCATTTCATGTGATGTGTAATAGAAAACAAAAGCAAAGCAGGTTCCTAAAACAATTCTTGTGTTTGTTTCTTTCTCACTTACCTCCTCAGACGGACATCCTGGTGTTGAGTTGTGACGTGATAACAGACGTGGCGCTTCACGAGGTGGTGGATCTGTTCAGGGCCCATGATGCAACATTGGCAATGCTGATGAGCAAAGCCCACGAATTCACAGAGACTGTTCCGGGCCAAAAGGGCAAGAAAAAAGCAGGTTAGTGCCATTTTCTCCACGATTTGTGTATATGTATTGTCGCTGAATTGACTCGTGTCATTTTCTATGGTTTGAAAAAAAAAAAGTCATTGAGTGTTTTATTTGTTTCTCTGCAGCCGAGCAGCGAGATTTTGTAGGCGTGGACCAGTCAGGCAAGAGGGTCTTGTTTATGGCCAATGAAGTGGATTTGGAGGACGGGCTATCGATTAGGAAGTCCATCTTGAACAAGTCAGTAAGCCGATGCTTTTTAATACTGCAAATTTTATCCATGGAATTTCCAATCCATTAATAAATAGCCGAACGTCTCCAGTGTATGCAATGTAGCACACGCACTCTTCACGACTACATTCCACCTCGTTTCGGGGGACCAGATGTTTTGGTTTCTAATGAGGGTTTCTGTAGCTGGTGTGTGTGGGATATTTGTTACAGGAAGGGACCGTGAGGTAGGTTTTCATTTCCTCGTCCTTAAATGCACGTATGAGCGCGAGCGGCGTTTTGGGAACTCGTAAATACTTCATAGAGCCAAAGCCACTGTAAATTCTGGAAAATGAGAGCAGGGTCCAGAGCAGCTGCTCGCAGAACGACCTTGCACAGAGAACTCTTCAGCCACTGTCCTCACACCCACACAGGCATATTTTGCTCATATACGCATTCTTCGTAAAGAAATGCTTTTTGAGTCGCACAAATACATTCAGGACATGGTGCTGGAAACAGAAGGAAAGAACCTACTTTTGTGATGTCATTACGATATGTAGGTGCCCACAGCTAAACATTTGTGACTTTCATTCTTGGTCTTAAAGCCTCCAATTATACAGAAGTATCAAACAATTACACAAGCAAACTATACAAAGTGAACAGTACAAAAGTGTTTCTATGTCAGGAAATCAGAGACTAATTTCCGGAGTTTGGGATTTCTACAAGCCACTCGTGGGTAGTTTATAGGTCGCGGGAATGTTTTACGCATCAGTTTTCCTCTAGCCACTGGTCCCATCAAAAGCACATACGCGTTTTTATCATCTGTGTGTTTTTTTTTTTTTCCTTCCCTTTTTGGTGTGCTCACTGAGCGTTTGTCCACCATTTGTAATGTTTTATTGGCCTTTCACGAAATAGTCTTGATTGATGATTGTTGAAATTGTCAATCAAATTACATGAAAAGATTCATTCAGGGTTACTTTGCAAGGACGTTAAAGCTTCAAGTCCAGTAACTGCTTGTAGTTTGGTCTTTGTTTTCAGATTTTCTTTCGAGGCTTTTTTTTTTCTCCAGATTCTATCAAAAAATTCTCTGCAAGTACTCTGAAAAAATATTGTTGATAAGAAATCTCAGTACTGTTCTTTGTTTGACTATCCCGTTGTTTACCAAGCTCGCTGAGTGCAACTCATGTTGAAGTGTTTGGTTGGGCCTTAAGCTAGTTTGTTGATGTTTGTGAGTATCATCGCGTCATCTCAGTGACCCTTTAAAAATGTTGGATGAGAGATCTTGTTTGCATCTGTTTCCAATGATGGCACATACCTGTTAATGTCATCAAGTCACAGGCTGAAGCCTCTTAATAAAGGCGGAAGGCGCTATTGGCGTTAATGCAAAAACCTACATTTGTCTGCACTCTGTGAAGTGAGGTATGTTGTATCTGCGATGAGTTATATTCCGTTTTGTTTTGGTGTATGAAAATATTTATTTTTCATTCATTTAAAAAAAAAAGTGATCATTTAGGATTTAGGAGACGTGATTGCTCAAATCTTAGATTTGGAAAATATGTCAGCTCGGCTCTTCTTTTCCTCACTTGGCCCTGAACCTTTTTATACATGTTTATTTCATTATGTTACACAGGCAAGGATCGAAGCTCATGGTCCGGATCATCAGTATTACGAGACTGTTCTTATTCCACCATCAGTGGACCATGTGTGGTTTTTAAGCTGCGTCAGATATGAGAATCAAAATAAAATGCATGAGACTATCTCGGCATTAGGGGAATCACAGGCGTTTTTATTTTGCAGGCTGTAACCAAATACCCTAAATAAGCCCCTCAGCCATGTTCGGGTCAGCCGAGGAAACCTGACTAATGAGGGTTTTAGCATTCCGCAGCATCCGACTCGTCATGCGCTTCTGCTCACGACTAAACTGTACATCATGCTGCGTGTTTTAGAGCAACAGAGAGTGAGCTGTGGCTCTTCTACCCTGCTGAGGATTGTTGACTTTAGTAGCTAGCCATTAGTCCAAAAATTGTGTCATCCTCGCCTGCCAAAGGATGAAATACCTGCTTCTTCCCAACAGCAACTTCTGTTGCGACCACAAGTCCTGCGGCTGCTTGTGTTACACGGAACTCCCGCTAAATGGCAGTTTATCATTCGTGCCTCTGCTCTATCATGTATTCTATTTATGTATTTATTTTTGGCGGTGTTTCACAATAAGCAGGCAAGTAGAGTTGTCCACTTTCAGTTGTAGCGCGATGTTGTGCTGCAACATGGCTAATAGCAAGAAGGTCGACTGCAAGAATTGCAGCGCAGTTGAGAGCAATTTAGGAGAGGCAGAAAAGGTCCCCAACTAAGCTCCAGTAGTAGTCGCGATGCCCACAGATCAAATCTGTGCCTGTGGGTAGTGTTGCATACCTTTTCCTCAGGTAACCAGGCTTGTTTATGTGTACGCTGTCAGAAAGAAGAAGCCAAGCTAACCGCAGCAACAACTGTTTATGCTCTGCATGCAATAGCGCGCCGCATACGCGGTTCAAAGGCCAACTTCAAAATAAACCTTACATGTGGACATGTGGACATCAACGCCTTGGAACGCTTTTATTTTTCTTTGGCAGCGTGTTGCGGCATAACGGCTGACTTGACTTATCTTCCAAACTCGGTTTGTCATCACAAACTTGTCACTACCAACGTCAACGTCACAGCGACATCCTGAAGTCACTTTCAGTTGCCAATGAAGTATTCACTCCTTCTTTCCTTATTTTACTGTCAGTGTTTGACTGCTGTGACCACATTCTTTCACCCAAAGCTTGTTAATTCCCCTTATTTATTTGGATGTTACAACAAGAGCTTAACTTCTGTCCACTTCCATTTCATGTGCTGTTCATGCGTCAATCCACAGATCGGATGAAAACAACTGGTCTTGGTTTCATCCTCCCCCCTTTCTTCCGCCTGTCTGTGATGGACAGCGATGTCACAAACGCCGAGTCCGATTTCCAAGAGGAACGCACCTGCGTAATATCTGATGAAAAAAAAAATCCATTAAAAACACCCACAGAGCAGGTCTTTGTGTGTGTGCGCGCACATGTGGTTTTATGCTCTTGAAAATAGCGTCACACGGAGGAACACACGCAGTTTGATTGATGGCATTTGGTTGTAAAATATGTGTGACCGAGCGATCCTCCTGAGTCACACTTGTCAGACTGCTTGCAGGTTAACGAAGAAATCAGAAAGATGGTCAATCCATTCCCGAATTTTTTAGCAACTTCCCCCCTCATTGACTTGCATATAGTGCTTCAATTATCGCAATTTTTCAGTGTCATTTTATATACTTCCCGATTTTTGCAATGGTTTGAATTTGCCAGGGTTGTTAGCAACACTCTTCTCTGTGGTGTGTCAATTTTAAATTGAGAGACTTTAGTTGTTTTGTTAATTAAAACAGATGCTCATCGCTAATGTCGATGTTTGTAATTATTTGTAGAGTATATTAATCATTCAAACCACGGTATTTTTTCCCACCTTTTTTTTCCTTCTTCTTTGTAAACACTAATAGTCGTCATAATTAATAGTAACGCTCAGCTCTCAGGCAGCCAGTCGGGCTTGCGGACATGGCACATCAGTCATATTAAAGCGTCGGGACTTGCCAGACATTCTTTTAGTTCTGTTTTGGAAATGAAAATCAAGGTTTTCGTGTCAAAGCTTCACTGTGAACACTGAACCGCCATGTCTGCTTTTCATTTTGTCAAAGCTGCATGATTGTTCCGTGGTAATGAGACACAGTCCTTTCCAATCAATAGCTTCCAACCAAAAAGAATCCAAATAACTAACTACAGTGTGTCCTGGAAAATGTTGAGCAGTGGTCTTTGAGTATTACATAGTTAACGTTTGGCTTCGTCTGTTTTAGGAAGGGCCCCCTCCCCCACGCACCGTGTGTATTTTTTGTTTTACGATCTAATAATTGAATGGGCGCTGGAAGAGGAGTATGTGAATGGCATCGGGGGGGGAGTGTGGATTCGTTTATTGAAGCCTGAAGGATGACTTGCTTTTCTTTGGCTCTCGCTTCATAAATGTCGTGTGTGTGTTAGCGTACACCCCTGCCGACATAAACCTGTCTTCCCCCTAAACCTGATACAGGGTAGAAGTATTTCTATTCGATCGATGTGTTTTACACTGGGAAAAAAAAAAGTACTTAGATTTCCATTGCAACGGATTAAAATGTGGTCGATTGATGGAATTTTCCTACTCTTTTAGTCATGTTATACCTACGCAACCGATATCCAAGTCCAAATTAAGTCAATCTAATGGACCCAAAAGATTTTTTTTTTTCGTACTTAGTTGCTTCGCGTGTGGGGAGAGACGGCACAGTTGAGTCATTGATCAGCCGCTCTGAACTTGTTGGACAATTTCCCATACCTTTCACGTGTTGTAACAACTTATGAAGCTATCAAAACTCATTTGCCTCATAAAATGAAGTCTGTCTGTCTGTATAGCTAGCAAGTTGGCAAGCTAGCAATTGAAAGTGTTGCCTTCAGGGACGGTGTGAAAACAGCCAATTAAACTTGGCCTGCAATGCATCCATCCAACTTTTTTTCCATCGATCTCTGTAGCATGGGTAGCACATCTGCCTCATGGTTCTTGTAATACGAGGTTTTTATTTTTTTATTTTTTTAACACTTGGTATGGAGAAATTCATGTTACATTACTTTAATATTGCAGTACTTGGATGACGTTACTAAATACATTTTAGAACAGGTAACACGTAACTATCAGAGTACATTTTAAAACTAACCCTCACAGCCCATTGATTATTTTTTATGTGATTACCCTATTTTGGTCATTTGCTTCAAGATGTAATCAAATGAACTATCAGTCATGGCCAATCAGTTCAGCAACTCTCTCTCTCTCTCTCTCCACCCCTAGACATCCAAGGATGCTCATCAAAACAGGCCTTGTGGACGCCCACCTTTATTGCATGAAAAAAGCAGTGGTGGACTTTCTAACAGACAACAAGTGAGTTCATCCACTCCTTCTCCAATCAGAAACATGCCGTTCCCCCCGTGTAACTTTGAAATGTCTTTCCAAGCAATCTGAAATATTCCGCATTTAACTCGACACGCTGGCTTGCGAAACACTGCCCAGACTCGCGCATTCACCGCTTAATCTGTAGCAAATGTTCAAGAGGGTTACGCAGCGTGTGAGGTTTTGAAAGGTCCTGTTAGCAGGGTATTCTACGAAGGTGTTAATTTGTTTTACGGCGTGTCACCGAGCCAGGCTGTAAGGCCTTTAGCCTGTGAAGTGGAGCGGTGTCACCTGGCCGCCCGCCGCTCCGTCCCACTGGCTGGACTGCACCGAAATTTGGAACGATTTGGCCTCCGTTGTGGAAATAGGCATTCACAAAGGTGTCCAACCAAAAATCAACCCCGTTTCAGTTTCCTCCTCAACATCGTGTGAATGATAATAACGGAAAGTGCTTTTTTTGTGTGGCCTCTTTTGTGTCAAAGCTTTTCAAATCATGGGATTTAACGTTGCTGATTGTTTCTGGATATCGTTCAAATTCCAGAATTGGACTAATGACTATTCAGTTTGGTCAAAATAACAACACCAATGGACCTTTACCAGAAATGATTGGTCAAAATAACAACACCAATGGACCTTTACCAGAAATGAGTAAGCTGCGTTGTAGTCACAGCAAACATCACGAAAGGAATTAATCCTTTGACCGCTTGGCCAAAAGACACAACTGCAATGAAATTCCAGCAGCCAAAGACTTTTTGCCACAGCTTCACGAAACAAAATTTCTCGATTCAACTGCCATTCCAACACTAATCTCTTTTGGCCAAGTCATTTCAATAAAGCAACAATTTGCCAGGTTACACATTTTTATATGCAGTTTGCTCTCTGTCTTTTTGTTATTGGACTCTCTCGACACCTCTCGTTCTCCCTTTCCCTCCAGAAGACATGGACACAGTAACTGTTGTTTTTCTCCTGTCATTCACATGGAAATTCGAATCTTCCCCTTTAAAAGAAAGTAAGGGAGAGGGTGAATGAAAGGGGGGTGCCGAGTGTTGGATAGGAACACCGAGCACAGCAGTGCTGTGCATAGAGGATAACCAAATAAATTACATCCGTAATTCATCTTAACATGCTCATGGAAGTCATAAGAGAGATTTATTCATATCTTGTCTGTTTATAAAAAAAAAAAAAGTGCTCCAAGGCTTCTCTTTATTGCAATAGTACTTTTACAGACGTTGGAATACTCCAAAGTTGGATGTTTGTGGAAAATATAATGTTACATATAACATTAATGTTGTCAGCGTATCCACTTAGTTAATTTAACTTGTAAGGGAGGGGGTGGGTGGGGGGGGGGCATGAGCTTCTTCTCGCTTACCTTTACCTTTTCCAAAACTTGATAATAATAAGCATGCTGAAATAGTGACATTCCTGCTTTACATTATTGCTAAACAAGCTCCTCCTCTTGACTGCAGATCCATTTCATCAGTCCGTGGCGAGCTCGTGCCATATTTGGTGCGCAAGCAGTTTTCCAAGGCAAGGAGCAGTCCAAAACCAAAAGATGACACTGATGAGCAGAGCCAGACGAAGAGTGACAACTCTCCAAACAACGGTTCGCATCACGCGCAGAGAAAGAGCAGTGTTTCCGATTAATGCAACTTCCATTTGCTCTAAATCAACTCTGGACTCAATTTGTTCTTCTGTATCACGCAGATGTGTGAAATTGTGCGCATATTTAATCTTGTTTGGATTTAAGAACATGTCAAAAGAACTGATAGAGTGTGTCTCGATATCCCATTTCATCATGTCGTGCAGTGGATGGTTCTTTCCTGCAGACTGAGGTAGCCGTTTGTTCGGACGGAAGACATGATTTGTATGCCGTATTTTTCCTTTGATTTCCTCAAAAACCCACAGCGCCCCTTCTGATCTGGTGCGCCGTTTGCCATCTTGAATTCCAACTCGTTTCGATGATGTTCGCCTTGTCGTTCACAAATGCATGACGTCATACAGGTCTGCTGCAAGTCCGAGCGGCCTTCATGCGAGCTATCATTGCGTCCGATGGTCGCCGCAAAGCAACAATTTCTTAAAAGCTTTGGCAAACCATTCAAACCTAGCCTGTTGATCAAAAACGTTCGATGCAGCAAAATCTTGGCCCGTGCGTTTCGACTTTTATCGCTAACGGCTGCTTCTCCCGTCTCTCCTCTTCCCAGAGCTTCTCATCTCATCACGGGACGATCGTCTCCTCCAGCTGGCCCAGGAGCGCTCCTGCTGGAACGACCATCACGGGGACATGAGCGAGGCATACCACGGCGGTAAGCTCCGTTGCTACGTGCACATCATGGACCAGGGCCTCTGCTACCGCGTCAACACAATCGCGGCCTACATCGAGGCGAACCGCCTGGTAAGCCGCAGGCCCGCCGATGATAAGAGAAACATTTCACATCTTCCTACTTAATCCCGCTGACTTTTTTTTTTTCATTTTAATTCCCCCCCCTCCGGTCCATTTGCAAGGTTCCCAAGCTTTTGTTTGAAGAGCCAGCAGTCCACCCTTCTGCCGTCATTTCGGAGCGATGTCAGGTTTGTGTCAGCGGTCGCTCCAACGTTTTTGTCTCGCGGTTCCTGGTCAATAGGGCTTGTGCTAATTGTCCTCAGATGGTCAGATGATCTCAGAGTTTATATTAGGCTTTGATGAGGATCACACATGTACGTGCGCGTGTTGCTATGAGTCACGTCTCTGTCTGCGCACTGCCGTCGTCTCCTCAGATGGGATCGGACAGCATGATCGGGGCACTGTGTCACATCGCCGATAAGACTTCAATAAAGAGGTCCACTATTGGAAGCTCGACCACCGTGAAGGAGAAAGTCAGAGTGACCAACTCCATCATCATGCACGGGGTCACCGTAGAAGAGGGGTGAGAACACGCGCGCCTACATTTTTATTTTTTTTTTTTTGGCTTTGAAGTGAGTTCCCAAGCACACATTGAGAAAGAATTCTGCTCTCAAGGCATGTTTATGGTTTAGGTCTTAATTGTAACCTTAAAGGGTTGCGTCGGATTCAGTTGGGGCACGCTTACAGTACTTTGCTGAATAATGTTTTCTTTTCATTTTTTTTCCTGCTTGCCAAGATAATGTTAACACCCAGAAGTTCTAATTATATGGTTATTTTCCATGTGTGGCTTCTTAATGCCCCTTTATCAACCACTCCCACTGTTTATCGTGTATAGGATTATTATGAGTATAAATGCATACCAGCGTTAAGATTAAGACTGGTGAAGATCGGCTCGAGTTATCGATTTTATTCTTGGAACACAACATAACCTCTTTTTCCATTTAGCATTCTGACCTATTTTTCGTATCTCTTTGATGTATTTTCTTTGAATAACACAACTTTTTTGGGGGCGGGGGGCATTCTCGTAACATTATGACTTCACTCTCGTAATAATAGCACATTATGACATTCTTCCTCACAATATTAGTACTTGTATTATGTTGCAAGTCTTTTATTCTGATGTAGCGTTTTTCTTCATCCTCTTCACCTGTCAATCTTTTTTTCCTCACAATATTGCAGCTGAAAATGCGGATGAAGATTCAATATACGAAAATAGGGGGGGGGGGGCCAGACATATTAGGATTTATTTTATTTTTTTCAAGCAGTACGCCTATTTTCTCCTCATAATTTTCAGGCAAAATTCTCATAACTTTTTTTTTTCTTCAAAATTTAACTTTTTTCAAATACGTGCCACTAGTGACTGCTGATGTGCACGGTGTGCGTGCGTGCGTGCGTGCGTGCATGAGTGCGTGTATTGTCAGATGCTGTGTAAAAGGGAGGTGTCACAGGTTTTGTTTTCCATGCTCCACGGGGTCGAACGAGACTCACTGGGCCCACAATGTGGCTATTGGTGTGCGACCAGCCAGAGGCCAGCTCCAAACAAACGGCGAGCTGCCGAAGTGAAGCACACAACATCCCAATATCTCATTTGACCGCTAATTTACTTGGCCACACCAGGATTCCCACTGTTTAAGGAATTCACAGAACACTATGAACCCTTGTTACTCCACACAGTAAAAATCCTGTGCCATTTTGGAAATGAGGGAGTCGAAGTCTGCCGAGCACATTTGAACATCACATTGGCTTGAGAGATATGACTTGTTGTTTTTCTTGTCGATGGTTCAGAGACATCCAAGTACAACATGCACGTGCTTCCATTCTGACATTGCAAGAAATTAGAAGTTTAGAAATTGGGTGAAATGTTGTTAACAGTATAATGTCATAAACAGTTTCTCGCAGCATATCTACTTTTTCCCCCCATAATATGAATTTTTAGTTTTCGTAACATTTCAACTTGTAATATTTCAACTTAATGACTTTTTCTTCAAAACAATGACTGGATTCCCATGATGAATTTCCAACGATGTTGCAATTTTTTTCTTGGTTAGACAATTCTCATTATAAAATGCAAAACAAGGAAAATTTACCAACATCACGTCGCTTCTTTTCATAGATTACCTTTTTTTTTTGTAACATTATGACAATTTCTGTCCCATTTACGGGACATTGCATGCTTGTAATATGAAAAACCTCATTGTCAGAACATTGCAACTTATTCCTGATAAGAGACTTGTATTGACACACCATTTATAACGTTACCTTCACAAAATGTGATTTTATTTCTTTTCAGTAATACTTGAAATACATTCAAATCTGGATGGATACCCTAATATTCCGCCGTTTTATCGTATGATTAAAATTTTATTCACGGAACATTTATGACCTTTTTTTAAATTAATATCCGTTTTTGTTGGTTAACTCATTTAATTAATTGTGAACACAAATAAATGGCAAAGAATCCTGGCTGTTCACCTTTATTCAAAAATTGGACGGGCTCTTTTTTGGCCTCCACCAAATTCCGGTTCAGTCGTTTTTGCATAATCTTCATCGCAAACAACCAAGCGCAACAAAACCTCCTTTGCCGTGGTAATGAGTGAATCAAATCACGCTGGGATCATCTGTGATGCTGCACATATTTCACTGATGTCATCATGACGCCGAGTCACTCATTCGTGCAGCCGCAACAAGAAAGCGCTTGTACTGAAAGAAGCAGAAGCTACTGTAGAATTGACATGGAGATTAATCAGCTCTCCGCTCTACCGCAAAGAGATTCATCTTGGCCGAGTCCGGCTCTTTAATACACTTATTCAAAGGCTCCGCTTCTTTTCTCACTCGCTCCTTTTCTCTGCACCGAGGCCTCGACGCCATCTCCCTCCTGTCCCTCCGTCTCTGCGCAGCGCTTCTTAAAACCTCTCGAGGACCCCAGCCAGCCAGCGTGGGGACCCTCATCACGGCCACGTAGGCGCACGCACAAAGGCATGAAAGAGCGAGCGAGGAGCTGCGAAAGAAAGTGGGCAAAGCGGGCTCGACTCCGGGGAGAAAATTGCAATTCTTTCCTTTCTTTCGTTTGGGGTGGGGGGGGGGGACATAAGAAGGAAGGAGAAAGAGGGAAAGAAAGAAAGAGCCAGTATGAGCGGATTAGCAGACCCTGGCCATGTCGGCGAAACCCCTCGCATTTCTGGTTTCTTTGTTTGGAGCTGACCAGAGCTTGTTGACAAAGCGCTGCGTGTTTGGGAAGGGGGGATAGTAGGGGTCAACATTATGGGGGGGTGGAACAGGAGGTGGGGATTGATGTGTGTGTGTGTGTGTGTGTGTGTGTGTGTGTGTGTGTGTGTGTGTGTGTGTGTGTGTGTGTGTGTGCGTGTGTGTGCGTGTGTGTGAGAGAGAGGATGGGGTGGTCATGGCAAGGAGGAGCCCTGGTGTTAGTAATTAGTGGTGTTTCTGCTTTGAAACTTCTTTGGTGGTCTCTTGCTCTCCCCTCTCTCGCTAATGTTACAAAACTGGGATTCTTGTAATCTCCCATCACCAGCTACCACCACCGCCACCACCACCTCCGTGGCAGTCGCTTAAACACACACGCGCGCACACCGTCTTCTACTCTTTCCTGGCGTAACCACCTGAATAAAACGGGCCAATACAAACCTGTCTGTTTGGGAGCCACAGAGGGCCAAGTGTGTGTGCGTCACTCGCCCGGGCAAGACCAACATGTGTTCACCACTGTTCTCCCCAAGCTACTGAAGCACGCACGCACACATTCTCCATCCCACACATTTCACACACACACATAGACAGCCTCCATGTTCAGCCAACACAAGACCGTCTGTGTGTCCGCTCCCAAAAATTTTATGGCTACGGTTTGGTTGAAGGGGAGCACGCACGGTCATCTTGGCAGCGCCGGCTCAGGTGGGAGCTGACAGCCCCCCCACGATGTCCTCAAGCACGCTCTCGCATGTGCCCGTAGTTGCTGCGCTTGAATAGAAATGCGGATGGCACGTGACCGGGGTCCGGTGGGGATGCTCGATCTTGAACGTTTCAGAGCAGGTGAACGGCGCAAACAGGCTTGACGTTCCGCTCACCTCCGGCGTGGCGCTACATCAGTGGCGGCGCCGGGTGGAAAGCTGTGGTCGCGCTGGGCCGCTCCCAATATGAATGCTTGTGACTGTGTGTACGTGGGCGAGTGTACACAAGTTTTTTTGGGGTGGAATTAATGAGATCAGATCTTCCAAAGGCACTTGAAAAGAGTACATGGAGAAAATTGTGTTTTTGACATAACAGTAAAACTCATGAATTTTGAGTACAAGGCTAAATTTCTTTTGTCGGATATGGGTTAAATGGACTGAATAAGTGTTTTCTGAATGTTCTGAACTCCTGTTTCCATCCCAGCACTATATCGAGTAGAATAATGCTGCCTGGACGGATACAAAAAGCTGTACATAAAATTTAAAAAATTAAAAAATAATCTGACCTATAAAAACAAAGACCATTAAAACAATCACATAAAAACAGTAAACACAAAAGACTAAAACAATGCGGAATTGAAAACCAACAATGGCAATCCTTAATCTTTGGGGAAAAAACCTGATCGTGTTTTTCATGCTGTTTTATAGGTGCAACATCCAGGGCAGTGTGATCTGCAGCAATGCCGTCATTGGCCGAGGCTCGGATCTCAAATATTGTCTGGTGGGATGCGGACAGCGGATCGAAGACGCGGGTGAGCACCCAGTGGACGCAGTGAAAACACAAAATACACAACATCAACAACCACTTTACATCAAAAAGATGAATTGCCTCCATATTTCATATTTTAACAGTAAATGATTTGGACAGAAATGGTGAATGTTGCCGTCCATCATATGAAATTGAAAGTAAATGGGGCAAAAATAGCATAAAATGTGACTGAAGAAATTTCAAATCCTGTTTCCTCTCTTAAGGAAAAGGTATACGTGGGTTGTCTGGAAAGTCAGACAATGAAAGACTTTTTTTTTTTTTTTCGTGTATGATCAAGCGATTGGATTTTTTTTTCTTTTCCTTAATCCTCTTGTAGCCAAAGCTATATGGGAGTAGGTGTGCGTGCGTGAGTGTCAGCGAATTTGTGTTTGTGTGTGTGTATGTGTGCGCGCGCGTATGTGTGTCACATTGATGGAGAGGTTAGAGAGCAAGGCCAGAACAGGACCACCCGGAATTCAACAGCAGCGCCCTCCAGCCACGTCCAGCGCACACATGCGCGTTTAGAGAAAGAGACGCACGCTCGGGCCACCAGACCGCCGCGCCACCTAATTGCGAGAACAATGGAGCGCTTCAAGAAACACCGCTTGGACTCTGGCTTTAGTTTTAGTCTTCATCTAAATCGAATCTTTTTTTTCTTCTTGTTCAACCTTGAGGAAGCAACAACGCATTCGTTAATAGTTTTTCCATGCAGACTAATTTAACTGTATTTATAGAGTCCTTTAGAACAACCACCGCTGTCGACAAATTGCAGTACGTGGAGAAAAAAAATAATGAAAACCACAACAAAAATAAAACAAATTCATAACCAGAGCCAAAGAATAAAAATGAGTTTTAAGATGGCACATAAGTGCTCCCTCTTAACGAGTACCGGTCAAGAGGTGAGCAGCAGCATTTTGGACCAACTGGAGACGCTTAATGGAGGATTGGCTGACTCCAAAGTAAAATGCATGACAGTAAAATCTGCCGGGATGTGACGAAGGCATGAATTGGTGTTTCAAAGTGCTCGTGAGAAAGGAGAGGCTTGAGCCAGCTGCCTAAGATGACTTCATACATTTATCATCCAACCTTCACAAATTTGATCACTCTTATAGTAGAAATAATGACAGAAAAAAACATGCATTCAATATTAGTGAATAATATAAAGTGCAACAACCTTGTATCCAGCGAGAATGTTGTTTGTACTCCACCACAAACATCTTGATACCCCCCCCCCCAAAAATGATCATCTACTTCTAGTTATCATATCAACTATATAATAGTCAAGGTTCCTCATATGTATGGCAAATACGGTCAAATTTTGCTTTTATCCACTAAAACGAGAATGTGTGGTATTAAATAAAGCTGAAGGTTTCACACTATCATTTATGCTTATAGGTATCAAATATGAGAACTTGCTCATTTTGTTTTCGAGATCATTGTGCTCAAAAAAATAGCTTCCCCCTCGGAGTATCTGCAGAGTGTAGCGAATCAGCGTGTGTGTTTTGGCAGAGTTGCAACTACTGGCAAGGCACACAGCTGCGAACATAATGTCATCCAATGCTAGAAAGCTACTTGCATAATTGTGTAGTGCGCGAGCCACGCAACCAAAGTTCTGTCAAAGACCAAGCTTCATCTTTTGTCACTTTAATGGCCGTAACAGCGGTTTGAATTTTAAACTGGGCACTTCCACCAAATATTTTTGCTTTTGTGAAAATTGGCTTTCCCGCATTTTCAACAAAGAAATCCGATTTTAAAGAACCTCAAGATAGAAGTCAAAACAACTCAGCTTGCTTTGTTGTGCTCACTAACCATAAATGTCAATACTGTACATTCTCGTTCAAACTTGTTTCAACTCAAATTACAGTTTTAGCCCCCCCCCCAAACTACACGTCGTGCTTTTTACCGTGTGGTCTGTACTTGGGAACAAATGTACAGTATGTAACGTAGCATGTTGTTGTGTCGAAAGTCCAGAAAGGATATCACATTAAGACGAACCGAACCGATACAAGATTAAAAAGGAAGGACAAATTGATAGCGAGCTTCAAAAGGAAGCTCAAAACCCAAGAAGGAAAGAGTCGCCAGATGGTCGGGAGTGTGGAATGAAAGAAGGACAGTAGGCAGAGAAGAAGAATGGAGAGCAGATAATTGATCCTCCAGAGTAACACGGTAGCAGAAGATTAACATTAGTTCACAAAGTAGAAAAAGCAACACGTGAACGTCGCGACAGGAGCAGTGTGGGCGGACGAGTGGGAGGCTGCTCAAGACATTTCACTATCAGTACTTCAAAAGCTGTGAGGAGCCATGGACCACACAGACTGTCCACCACACACAGACACACACACACACACACACACACACACACACACACACACACACACACACATACACACACACACAGACACACACACAGACGTTGCTGTCAGGTGTTGATATTCGTGCATACACACTGCACCTCTGCGCTGCGTGTTTTGAAAACACACAAACGGCGGGTGTGTTTTGTATAATTCTACGTTGCCAGTAATGTCCATCAGTAAGCCGTCAAGACAGACTGACTGCGTCTTGTGTGTCAGTAAGGGCTCATCCGCACGCACTGCGGCGTGTCAGAACTGTCGGCGCAACAGTAAGCCACAAAACAACAGTGATTCAATTCGGATTAAGGTCTGAGCATACACAAGGTCCAACACACATTTTACCAACCTCCTCCTCTTTCTTCAACTCTTCGCACACCCGGAATCCCCCTCAGATCATTTGAAAAACGTCGCTTTCCGAATCGATTTCTGATTGGCTTTATACGCTTTCCACGGCGAGCTCCGCTATTTTTGTCTCGATGTGCCGTCACACTTTTGCGTTTGTCACTCGTCAGGATCTCCATCCAGCCATCCATTTTCTGATCCGCTTTTATCCTCACAAGGGTCGCGGGGAGTGCTGGGAGCCTATCTCGGCTGTCTTCGGGCAGTAGGCGGGGGACACCCTGTACTGATCGCCTAGCCAATCGCAGGGCACACACAGACAAACAACCATCCACGCTCACACTCACACTGAGGGACAATTTGGAGTGTTCAATCAGCCTGCCACGCATGTTTTTGGAATGTGGGAGGAAACCGGAGTACCCGGAGAAAACCCACGCAGGCCCGGGGAGAACATGCAAACTCCAAACAGGAAGGCGACGCGCTAACCACTCGAACACCGGGCCACCTGTCAGGATCTCACTTTGGGAAATTATTACTTTGTCAAAATTGACGAAATAGAAATTATTTTTTCATGATTCATTTAATGCATTTTGTTTCATTACTTGTGACATCAAAATATTTGGTTTGGGATTTTCTTAAAATTACTTCACAGTTGACCTTTAACCAAATATTAAAGCACAAGTCAACAATTCTGCCCCTAATCCAGATATTTCTTGTTGTCGAGGTTTAAGGACCAAAAAAAGTTAGTTGTTTTATTTATCTGACTTTTATCCTTTCAAATATTGGAATCGGGCTCGTCATTACTGTTCATACCGTATTATTTGTTTGGAATGTGTACCTTTAAGGGGTGTGGCCATCCGGCGGTCCATTTTGAAACTCACAAAACGAAAAATCAACCAAACGGCATCTCGCAACTCGACAAACTCTGAAGTCGGTTCACTCATATGTCAAGATCGCTCTGTTTATGCGTTACGGACGAGCAGCTGCAATAAATCGAGCAGCCTCTGTCCCGCTGCCCCACGCGGTGTTTGTCTTCCCATCCACACAGCCGAGGAAAAAACCCGTTTGCGAAGAGATTCCTTCACACTAGAAGCCGCTTGGCGTGAATGGAACATTATTCTCGCTCGCCGTTTGCTTTGGATCGGCCCAGATGTTGGGGCTTGGACGGCTCGGACGGAGGCGTGTAAAGCGGCTGCAGGCAGACGTACTTTCAGGCATCATCTGTTTCCTTTGTGGGGTTCAGGTAGCAGGCAGCATGAGCTCAGACTTGCCACGCCGCGTCTTGTTTCTGGGACTCTTCTCAGATGCGTTCGCAAGCATCGGAAACGACGAATTAGGCTCTGTTTGGCATGGTCAGCATCATCTGAAACGTGTAAAGCCTCAAACCTCTCCTGTTGTGTTTGCGTTGGCTTCAGCGTTCCCTGTTCTGTCCTTGATGCATGTGGCGTTTGTACAAATCTCTCCGCCTGCGCTGCATCGATCATAATCGAGTTCTTGATTGAGGTGAAATGTAATCAAAAAGTTGCGTGCAACCAGACAGTTCAAATATGTACATGATAGCTGGTCTAGGGGCCGACTGCCTTTTTCGACCAACTGACGCCCACCAAGATTGTTTTATTCAACCAAGACTAACGAAATAAACAAAAATTGTAAAAAAATAATAATAATAATAATAATAATCTTTTTTTTAAAAAAAACGCTTCCCCCCCCAAACAAAAAGTCAGACTACATTTTACACTTCCAAAACTAACTAAAATTAATTGTCCTTCATTTTCGTCTTTGGCAATTAACCCTTTCGGGGACAGCAGTTACAACAGTGGACAGCTTATCGTGTTTTCAAGTTAGAAGGTGGATGAAAGGGTGAATATTTGTACATGTGTATTTCGGTAAAGCACAGCCAGAAGACAGAAGAAGGAATAAACATTTCGTCTGGGAGTTGTGGTCCTTTAACTGCGTGTCGCCTACAAGCGACATCATCTCATAGCATAGCAGCCAATTTCAAAAAAAAAAAAAAAAAAAAAAAAAGCACCACCAAATGACGTTGCACCAACTTGACAAGCCGGTCTTTGAAGCGAGTTGACATTTGTTGCGGCTTGCCAGCTTTTCTCACTTAACTCAGCCCCGAAACGTGACACTGGGTCACAAGGGCTCCCCTTTTGCGGTTAGAAGCCACAAATCCACTTTCGAAGTTGGCAACTTGGCAATCAAGGGATGGAAAGCAAGAGCATCCGAGCTTTATTTAAGACGCTGGGGTTCCGACGCGTCGAACTCAAGAAGCTGGATCATCCGTTGCACTTCTTGTCCTTCAGAGTCTGTTATACGTTCCCCGTATTGAATTTGTTCACGGTTGTTTTAAAAATCTTTTTCATGTTTGTTGTCATTGAGTTTTTACAACACAATATTTAGCGTACGATTAATTCTCTGCGGGCAAAGGGTTTAAGTCATCGTAAAAGAAGCCCGCCTTGAGAATAGCCACGGTTTGACAATCCTCGTTTTGTGCTTTTGTGTCTTTAGCTGAGAGGACCAATGAGGTCATCGTCGGCACAGACCAGCTGATGGAGATCTAAGTGACCTCACCTGACCGTCACAACCTGGAAACCGGTGACACACTTTACACAACCTTTGTAAATTTGTGTTTCAATAAAACCTCAAATCCACTCACGTCTTGTCACTTGGACACGGTGCTTTTGTTATTCCTGCTCATTTCTAATTGCCCTACTCCAGGATTGTGTTCCTCCCTCTCTCTGTTGTTCCCAGCGTGCGTGCTCGGCGTTGCACACGATCCAGCTGTGAAAACCAGCCATGTCGAGCAAAAGCGGTGGGAGTGGTCGGCACAATGGAGTGCGGGATTCCGTTTATTTGTACACAAAAATGGTGCCTGTGTCAGTTCTGGACCACCCGGCTTGATCCTGTATCAGTTAACACCCAACGCCCCGCCCTCACACGCACTCCTCGGAAGAGGAAGCGTACTCGTAGCCAATGCCTTTCTTCTTTTTCTTTTTACTCCCCCACTACCCTCCACCCCCCACCCCCCATCCTCTTTTCTCCTCTTTTGCTGTCACAAGATTTATTGCATCCCTTCGGCAAAGCATTTCTGAAATTACAGGTTGGAAGTTCTTTAGTCACGAAGGGAGACCACGCGAAGAGAGTTGTCTAGATGCAAAGCTTTTTTTGTTTTGCGGGTGATTTACGACGGCCTCGCTTTTCTTTTGTGTCTGAGTATAAAAAAAAATAATAATAATCTGGATGATTTTTGATGTGTCAGTAGTGGTCGGAGGAAAGCCTCACTGATGAGAGAGCATAAAATGCTTACATGAAGTCTAGTTTGAAAGCCCCCCCCCCCCTTATGTCGCAGTTAAGTCACATCGGCATCCCGTCATGTGGTTCGGCAAAACCCCGCTGACCGCAAGATGCTTTTCAGAAGTCTCGACTACAAACGTGATGTCACAAACACAATTACAGTCTTGAGCAATGACTCACTCTCAAAAGTCAGGAATCCCCTTCGCTAATACAAGCGTATTAGCGTACATTAACGTATTTTCCCTCCCCATTATCGGATTCCTCTGAAGGACAATGCTCGAAAAAAAAAAAAAAAGCAGTTTTGCGTCTCAGTTTGCGGGTCAAAATTCACATTTTGCTCCTCGAATATTGAAAGTGCGAATAGGCGTCTACGTTGCACAACGTAGACGCCTATTCACGTTACGGAAAGCCCCGATAGCTAACTCGTTGCACCGATAACACATTGTGAGTGGTCAGATATATATTTTTTTTAAATCAGCAGGTTGGCCGCCGCTACCGAAGGCGGAGTTTGAGACCCCCCTACTTTAAAAGAATTATTTTTAAAACACAAAGCTACCTGTATTCTCGTAACTCCCATCACATCATTTTGGGAGCCATTGTCTCCATTTGAAGGCACACCCGAACGTGTGAATGTCCGACCAAGTACAAACCCCGTTTGCGGCTCTCACGCGGCGCAGCCTTGAACGTTTTTTCAACCATCTCACACTCTGACCTCTCTGGCGCGGCTCATGATGAGACGTGGCAGCTGCCGGTGTTTGCATAACGCGTTTGTATATTGATACAAAGACCTCGGCGTCCCCTGAAGACAACGCCACCGCGGCTCAGCCCGCCTACCAGATCATTGGTGTGTGTGTGTGTGTGTGTGTGTGTGTGTGTGTGTGTGTGTGTGTGTGCGTGTGCGTGTGTGTTCGCACTTTCATGCCTACACTTACCTGTGTGTGGCCGTTGTTAATCTGCCGTCTCACAAACACATCGCACCACTGATTTTGTGTGTGAGCATGTGTGTGTGTCCAAACAACTTAGAGTAAATACAAAAAATGGATTACACAAATAATTAAGCGTTGAGCAGCTGATGAGTAACTTCTGTAGCATTACTTTAAAAAAAAATCGGAGCATTGAATGTTACATAGAATCAATGTATTCCATAAAATGACGACAATGTGAGTTGTTCTGTTCGTCTTGGTCATTGGATCTCTGGTGCGAGGCTTTTAACCTGTTTGACAGAAGAGCGGGAAATTTGATTTGGCCATTGAGTTCACGTTGCAAATAGTCTCCGCTCATTACGTGTTTTCGCATTGATGTTAGTTGTTGTTTTTCTCGTCGAGCGATTGTCGTCGTGTTTGTGTTTTGCATCGTGACCATCTTGTTCATTTACGAAATAAGGTCAGCTCATTGGGATGCAAATATCCATCAATAACTAACAACAAAAATTAGGGGGGGGGGTGAAACTTCATCTTAAATTTTATGCAAACCAACGATAACCCTCGCAAAAAAAAAAAAAAAATCCTTTGTTTTCATTTTTGTCACTTATCTGTACTATCACACATGAGCTTTCGGGGTTCTTATTTCAGTATCGTAGACGTGTCATCTGGTCTCAACGTCGCGCTTTGAAGGGAGGAAATTTCAACCAGGAATGTTCACATCGGATTGTTTTCAGCATGGCGCGGTCGCCTCAGTGTTCCAAATGGGTGTTGACAGTTGATTGTCCAATTGTGATGTTGACACCCTCTGATGTCTCGCATGTCCTTCCAAAATAAAATACAGCTGTTGTTACTCGGTTGGTTACTCCAGCCGCGCTAACCCTTCGCACTCGTCACAACACGCAGTATGTGTGGTCGTGAAGGATGGCCTCACTGCGGCCAAGTTGTCGACATATCAGCCTTCGCCTTTTTTTTTTTTGTTTTCTTTTCAAACTCATGAAAATGATGTCTGGAAATGAACGTGTCGAGTTGCAATGAATCACCCCGAATAAGAAAAATAGTGTGATTGGTGGAAGAGGGAGCGAGTGACCTTCCTCGCGTCAAATTCATGAGGCAAGACGTGAACTGTGAACGCTCAGAGCGCATATCTACGTCTTAGATGTTTTACTTGGATGCTTTTCATTTAAAACAAAATATAATAAAAAATAGCACCATAACACAGGTTATGAGTTTACCTGTTTTTAACATTTTACCCGTGCGTTTTTTCTGTGCGTTAAAAAAGTGACGAGACCACGTTTGTTTCTAAATACAGTACATTAGATATGTTTGAATATAATGCTCAATACATTGTATGTTAGGCCATTGCTGAAAGGACAAAAACTGACAACAGAGTCGTACTCAATTGTGGCGCTGTAGTGTTAAATATCTTTTTCGCCATGACAGTTTTTCAGATTTTTGGGGGGTCGTGACTAAAATAAGGCCAGTGAGTCTCTCCTCTCCCACTATATAGAACTTGAGCGCTTTCATTCACTGGCACAATTGTGAGCCCGAGCCTGTTAGCTTACAAGCTAGCTGGAGGCTAGCGCTTTGTGGCCTTACATGTGAAATCCAAACTCGGTGGGATATAATCCAGCCACCCGCAACTTTAAGCAGATAAATTTTTGCTGCTCAAACATGTATTCATAAGAAAAGATGTTTGACAAACTAATATAAAATTAGCAAGGCCGTAGTGGTGATATTTGATTGACAGTTGCGCGGGCAGCAATTTCAGCACTTTCAGCAGACACACCTGCAATTTTTAAAAAAATCTTTCAAATTGGGGAGCGTTGGAAATAATGCATAGACGGATTACCAAAGATTTTTTTTTCTCACACGTAAAGCTTGGGCAGGCAACTCAACTTTTTGCATACAAATAAAAGTTGTATATTATGTCCCCCCTTTTTTTCCTGTTCTTGCAGAAATGGAGCTTAAAGAATCAATTCCACGAATAATACAGGGCAGGACGTAAGGTGGAGATAAATGTGGACACAGAGAAGAAGGTAGGGTGGAGTTGTAGATCTGAGTAGTGAGGGTGGGGATGTGGGGGGACCAAAGGGGATGGGCTGGTGTTGCGGTGGTAGTGTCGGTGGGGGGTTGGTCGAGAAGCTGGGTGGCTTCATGGCTTGAGGGCTGATCGTGGGTGAGCAAGGAGACACAGAGCGAGGGAGCGGCCCACCCAAGTGGTAGTCAGTCAGAAACCTGTGTGTGTGTGTGTCTGTGTGTGTGTGTGTGTGTATTTGCTGCTGACCCCGACATATTAGCACAACACTTCCTCAATTTGTCTTCTGTGTTCTCTGGGCACAAATGATTTTCCCCTCCC